AAAAGTATGGGCCCATGGACTTGGAGCCAGGCTATTTTTATAGTTAAGTGACACAGATCCTTTGCATGCCTGCAAGCCCATGCACGTCAGGCACACAGATGTGTTAATACCGTGTTACTTTCATGGTAATGCCAGGCTAAAGAACTGTATCCTTTGCCAACTCCATTTGAAAGGAATGCCATTGTTTTGTTTGGTAGAGCATATGGCCAGTAAAGTATGTGCAGGGACTCCCAGCATTTTTGTTTAAAAGTTTGCCGCAGCAGTATAAACAATTAAGGCAACACTCAGAATTTCCAATCCTGAAAACCTGTTGACTCAGATGTTCTGTTTTCAAGAAAACCATGAAAGACCGGGGCATCCTTCTGGGGGTGCACATAGCCTGCTGGCTGTGTGGCTTCCCCTTGCAGGAGAAGCACTGGTGTCCTACAAGCTTCCCAGTTTGGCTCTCTCACCAGAAGCCTCTTTCACTTGGGGAAGGTCCTACTTTCTTTCCCTAAAGCCCTTTCTTAACCCAGCCCCAAAAGGCATGACCATTAGGACTTTATCTTCTGAAGCTTTTTGAGGAAGAAAGCTAGGTTAGAACTTTTCAAGTTGACACACATTTTTTCTCAACTTTTCATGGTGGGAAAAGATAAAAAAGAAAATATTTATGATATTTGGCTGTGCGTGTAAAACAGTGGTCTAGAGGGTTGCTTCGTGTCTTTATATACCAACCTCCACACATGATGGATTCAATGACAGCTCCTATCCAGTTGCCTTTAACTATGTCATACGACTAAGTATGCCTATGCCTTTGACCACTTTTAACCGCACGACTGTTACTAGCAATATGCCCCTCTTTCTGACTTACTGGACTTGTATAGCAAATCACTCTCTTTGCATTTAGAGATTTGGCAGTGAAAAAATTTGACCATTTACATTCTTGCTTATGTGTGGTCTTCCTTTCAGTGCCAATCTTCTCTCAGTTGTATGAGATTTTGTCATTTTTTACTTCTCGGTTAGGTGTTTAGTTTGAAAGAAAATAAGTGACTTTTTAAAAAGCGATTCATTGGACGTTCACGTTGAGTCAAGTTTAAGATTTGTAATGGGAAACTCCTGGTTGACTTTACAACTTGACTTTGAATTCTTAGAAAACGTTTATTACAATTGCTTATTTTTCTCTGAGGAATTTCACACATCAACGTCAAGTTGATTTAATATAATTTCACATATTTAATAATTGCTATATGGACAGTCTACTCTTCAAGCAGAAAACCACGTGAGCATTTTGCTGCTGATTTTGCTAATCAAGGAAAAGATATTTAGCATCTGAATGATTGTAGCAAATATATGAACATGAATAGCAAAGACATATGTCTTGCTGCTTTTGGAATAATTCAACTTTAATGACATTCCAACTATGTGGAATGTCAAGAGTTTTTGGAGAATAGAAAAAGCCATGCATTTTTCTTTTCCTTATAACCATTTTGTGCAGCATAGAATCCAGACATTGTCACCCATGAGCATGCCACAAATGCAGACCCATCGCGGCCCCTTTCAACCTTAAGATTCTTCAATTTGAGGCTACGTTTACTTTTTGCCTTTTCTCTCCTTGATTGTTGGATAAAGCCAAGGCATGGCTACAGAAGTAGAGAGCCTGCAAAAGCTGAAGTGCCTGGGACTCTTTTAACTGAGTTTGTCCCATCCTGCTTAGGTAGAAAGTGCCCGATTTTTGTTAAGCTGATGCGAGTTGTTATTGACTAAACAGCAGGGAATCACTCTAAGGCTCTCTGAAATGTGTCCCAACCAACAAAAATGATTTTATTTTTATGTATGTCACATCACCCAAGATTTCTCACCAAGGTTAGTGTGTTCTGTGCATGGCTGGCACAAAACTCTCAATGTTTACCTTAAGGCCTACAGAGTTCCTCACAAGGAAAGACAGAAGGGACCGGTAAAGCCAAGCTGTCGCTATAAATGTCAATGAAGCTAAATTCAGTGGCCTTTTTGGCTGATACAGCTTATTTTTATTTTATTTTGACTCATGACAGTAGCTGGTCAATCAATGCATAGTAATAATGTACCTCTGAGTCTCCATAGGCTTTCAAACCTGGATATGGGTTCTGGTAATTAGCTTAGCAATTGATAGCACCTGTTGTAGAAAGAACAGGAAAAGAAAGACAAACGAAACACCAAGAAATAGATGTGCTCACGTAGCCTAGGTGTTGTTGAGTGCAACACATAAGTCTACCCCTTGGAGGATACTATGTATGGAAGATTTGAGTTCGAAGTTTACACCGCCCAGACAGGGATCCAAGAAGCCTTGCTTGGATGACCATTTTCCCCACCCCAAGAAAGCCATCTCAAAATGGAGCTGACTCCCACCATTCCATGCCCATCTTCCGAACTTTTCTGTGAATCACCCATCCCTTAGGGACGCCTTTAGGGGTTACACGTTCTCTTCTGTGAATAATGGGGAAGAGCGGCCACAAGAGGGCGCGTTCCAAAGACTTTTGCTCCTTGTCAGTTTATCCAGGGAAAGGCAGTTGCGCCTACTGGAAGCACCCTGTCTGTAGCGCCCAGTAATCTTGGTGATTATCAGTTACCTCCTGCTCCCTCTCATCCTGCAGAAAAAGTTAGGAATTTATGGGATGGGAGAAGCATGACTACCTGTAATACATTAAATGAGACAGAAGGAAAGGAAATGGAAATTCTAGTGATACATGTGAACATTCCGGAGCTCTATGGAAGGCAGACGAGTGATAAATTTCAAAAGCAAACAAAGCAGAGCAGGGAGAAATGTGACCATGAATCATCAGCGATACTGATTTGCTCACAAGTCTCTCCCTAATACGGTCTCTCGGATCGTAACAAAAACATCTTCCGTCTCCCCTGATTTTGTTGCCTAGTTTTCCTGCCTTATCAACAGTTTCCACCAGCGACAAATGACAAGTGACTTCAAACAGGGAGGAAAAAGGTTCTTTCTTTAATGCCTTGTGGGAACATGGTGTTCAGCTTCTGAGGATGCGTTTGTTTCCGAACTGAGGGTGTGAAGAGAAATGGTGGGGAAAGATGGGGAAAGAGATTAATAGTGGTCTGTGGCCTGTGCAGTGGATGGACTGGGCTGGGGGTGGCGGAGATGCCAGGGTGGAAAGTCCGTTGTAATATTTAAAGAACTGCAGTAATACCTTCCCAGGCACTTTTCTTGAAAACACATATTTGTCTTGGCCCCTCTTCTGCTAAAAAATACTTGCACATGATCTCCTAGCTGTAGTTCAGAATTCTTCGTACTTGACTGGTTCCTAGGTCCAAAATCAAAAGTGCCAAAGTTCTCAGGAACTTTGGAAGAAGTCTCTGAAATTTTGTGGGTTGAACCTTAAGAATTTTTGCTACTTGTAGGAATCTAAAACCCCTTTCTCCTGAAATATTTAACCTTTTCATCACCATTTTAATGGAAGAGGCATGGATGATGGATGTTTGTGGCTGGGCATTTATAAATCAATAACGGACCCTAAGGAGGGACATTAAAGCTAAAAAATTAATCAAGATAATTTATGGCCAAACCTATAGTTCTACTGCAGGAAAGATCCTCTACTGTAGGTCAAAGGAGGAATAACCTTAAGACCTCACTTGCTGCTTTCTGCAGAAACCCCTGGAAGCAGTCTAAATGCAAAGTTAGAGCTTCAGAGAACGCACCCTGTAAATGGTAGTTGTGTATACCCTTACCATTGACTATACCATATCTAGGCACAGTGAAATCTTGATGAAGAATGGAAAATTAAAGGAACAGACGCTTTTTACAGGGAGGCTTCCCCCAACCCCCACCCCATGGTAAGTTTAAATATGTTCTGTAAACAACGAGGCTTTCCACATTCACATTAGAGACATAATTATTGCCCATATGTAAAAGAGCAACATATTTTAGGCAGGACCCTGGTGAGGAAAACAAAACCAAATTGAAACACTGCATGTGTGTGTTGCTTATTTAACTGAAAATGTTCATACACCCACAAATCTGAGATGCTGGACTTTTGGATGAGTCCATCATTTTGCATCTTAGTGTAGGGGGAGGGAACAACAAGGGGCTTAGCTGCTTAACCCTTGGCATGCGTTCATGATTGACTTATTCAAAACATTTTGAAAGCAAAGGAAAATGTGCTGCAAACACTCTTCCAGGTATCTTTCCTTCCAGCTTACACAGTCTCTCCTCTGTCCAATCCTTCCCACCCGGCAGCATTTCAGAGGTATTCCCTGTGAGGTACAAATTTTCTCTTTGCCCATTTTTTCTGCACCTCTTTTTCTCTCTCTTTGGTATGTGTCCACCGAGCTCATAGAGGTTTAAGTGATGAAATATTATCACCCACATGGGTTTGCGTGGGACTTTCTTAGTGAATTACTCAGGCAGAGCAGGCTGTGATACAGCCTTGCTCACAAGCCTCGGGAGGGAAAAAAATAGCACAGAGGATGAAAAGAATATTATCAGAGAGTAGGTAATGAAAGGTTAGCAAAGCGACCAGCTATATCTGGCTAGCTAGGTAATAGTGCAGGAACCTAGGTCGCAACTGTACAAACTAATGCAGAACCTGCTCACGGCGCATTATGGGAAGGCTTTCATTTCAAGATTTTACAGCATGAGATATTTAAGTGAAAACTAAAACTGATTAGAAATTGATCCTGAACATCCCAGCCTTAGTCAACCTTCCCTTTTCCAAATTGTTATGCATGGAGATTGGAGGATTGGGGCATCTTGAAAGTGTCACTGCAGTATAGCCATCTCTCTCAGGTAATATAAAGATAAAGGGAATATAATAAATTGACCTGTTATTTATTATATTTTTCATACCTAGGACATTCCGAGGCTGTAATATATTTCTGAAGCCTGCAGCCCTGATAAACATCAATCCCACGTCAGTTTCCAGCAGTCTCATCTCCCCACCCCCTTCTGCAATGAAAGCTAATGTAAAAGAAAGAAATATGCACTGCTTAATAAGTCAGAATACAATAGAACTTGTAAAATGTACCTGCATATAAGGTAGACATTAGGAAGACTTGAATCTCTCTCTTCCCCCTGTTCTCCTGAGCATTATGGCAACAGCATTTTCATGAAATTAGATCTGTTTTATTTTTTTTCCTGATAAAATATCATGCAATATACAAATAGCAGTTCCAGAAATGGACACCAGGAGAAGGAGGCGACAGGCATGTCAATTAGTAGGGGGAAAATCCAAATGTCAGAAATATGGGGGAGAGAGAAAGCACGCAGGCAGTGGATGCAAATACAGGGAACCGAGTCTTTCAATTCAGATAATTAAACGGATGCATAAATCGGCGCCCGTGCCTCTCCATAATACGCAGGCGATGCCATGCAGTTAATTATCAGCCAAGACCAGCATGAAAGTCATTTTATGATGACTCTCTGATCCTAATATAACAGCACCTGACAGATTGAGCCCCCTCTAATGAGTACTCTCTTTGTACAATCCTCTCTTAGGAACACTAAATCATTTGCTTCCAAGTACAGCTGCCTGTGAAGAAGGGGTGGGGCTAGATCATGCATCAGAAACCTGCTCTTGTGAAATGAGGGGCTGTCCTGTAGGCTGTGTGACTAGAAGCCAGCAGCCTCAGCCTCTCTAACCCTACAAAAGCAATTTGCACGCGGCTGTCCCTAATTCTAGTCAGCCAACTAACCCTCCCTCGGCACCCCCACCCAAACATCTGGATGTTATTCATGGAAAGTCCACTTCATGCGGGTCAGCACTGCTGTCCATCGGCCTTCACCCTGACCCCTTCTGGCAGGTGTGGACAAGAGCAGAGTAGATCCCATGGGGATGAGTTACCCAAAACCCAGTGAGCCTCCCTATGTGGGGCACTAGTCAGATGCTCCAGTTTCACGCTCTTTCCTGGAAAAACAAAACCCAACCTTGTCCCCTCTGAGTTCTCTAATTTAGCAGCTACTATCTCTCTGTTTTTGGAGTGACACCCTGTGCAGTTTAGGATTTCAGAAGCTGTCCCGCATAGAGGCAGAAGGGAAAACAGCAGGTAGCTTGTTAACATTCTTCATGGGGCAAGGCAGATGTGCCCATGCTGGAGGTAACCTGCACACCCTCCAGGCCAGTTATCTGAGGCGTGGGAGGTTTCCCTCGGTCTTCTCCTAAGGCCTTGGCAGGATGCTGCCACCCTAAAATCAACTGCTGATTGCCTTTTTAGATGTAAATGATTAAGCTCTGCTTCTGGGAATCTTCTTCTCTTTACTTTGTTAAGAAACAAACAACAACAACAAACCCCCACCAATTCTTAGCAAAGGGGAATATAGAATTCAGATTTTGAAAAAATAAGTCATCATGCTTCCTAAAATAAGACAGCTTCTCCCTCTAACTGCTCTCTGCTCTGGTATTCTATCTAATCATAAACCCAGCTTTATTATTCATTTCAACTCCTGCCAAAGACATGAGGTCGGAGTCAGAGGAACTCCCCTTACCACCACCACCACCATCATCATGGCCAGCATCCTTGTAAGTTTATAGAAAGATGCCAGAGAACCTTTCATATCCATCTGCAGCCCTGCTTGGCCCTTGCCTCAGTGAATTTACCACTATCATAATCACAGTGTGCAGAGTGTGTTAAATTAAGAACAGAATCTACAGTACGCAATGCACAGAAAAGCCTGCCTTCTGCTGCAGAGAACTTGAAACTGTGCCTAAAATTTATAGTACCGTAAACATCTCAGGGCCTCGAGTGATAAGTATGGCTGGATTTCCGTTAACTATAGAAATTCAGGCAGGGAGATCCTCCCAGGGAGTTGCGAGTTCTAAGATGAACTTCTTGAAGATTGTTCACAGATTTGTACATGGGATACATGTACAGCGGACAGTTATAAGGAGGTCCATGGTCAGGGAAAAGAGGGTATGTTTCCATATGCCACAAAGGGGGAAAAAAGGAAGTGAGGGAACATATTTGATCAATCAAAAAATTTTAGTTTGGATACCTGCTTTCATAGTAATTGTTGCTGCGTCATTAAACATACAGGTGCTTACGAAAAGAGAAGGAAATAGGTGACTTTCTAATTTTAGAGTTAGGCTAGAACTGAGTGGTTGCTAAATTCAGCTGCCCTGACAATGTGGGGATTTCCTGTCCATTAGCAGCGATTGCTATTTGACATATGTTTCTGGTGCCCATTAGGCTGCACTCTAATGGGTCAGAGGCAAACGTCGGGGATTCAGAGGTACAAGGTGGCTCTCTTAATTTAATAGAACTCAATGCTAAGGACGCTTCCATTTGTTAATAAGTAATCAAGTCATTGCCTACTTTCTGCTGAACATTAGACTATGATAGTGACCTTAGACCCTGGGCATTCTAAACCAGGCTGGCAGGAGGGTGGCGGTGGAAGTGATGTGAAGGAAGCCTCCTAGAGGAAGTGTTGTCCAAACAATCTGAAAATTGAAACATTATTAAAGGCAGCACTAAGGGTGATGTGTTGGAGTTGGGGCAGGAGCACTTGAGGCAGAAGGAACAGCAGGTGTCACTGCCTGCGGGTGAGACAAGGGGTGGACTTCTCAAGGCCTTACACCCCAGAGACCAGGACTGGGCAAGAGCTGGCATTCAAGGAAGGAAGAGCATGTACAGAGCCCAAAGTCCCAGGCACTTTCTGTTGGATACTGACAGCAATAGGAAATCAGTAAAGGACTTTCAAGAAGTGATGTGATCAGATCCACCTGTGAGAAAGATGCCTTTGGCTGCTTCATGGAGAAATGACTGGAGAGGAGGCCTGCCTTAGTGTTGCAGAGGCAAAGTAAAGAACATGCTGCTGCAGTGACCCGGCAAAGAGGTGATGGGGGAGGAATCAGGCTGTGACAGGGGAAGAGGAAGCTGACTCAGTGTGTCCCGACTGCTCAGACCTACACAGTGAGGCGAGGCCAGGGGCTGCATTTTTGTCTGAGGATAATATTTCCTTAGCTCTCTAGAGCTTACAGTGTCCTTTCGTTTATGTTATCTCAGCTGATCTTCCCAAACCTGTGAGATAACAGATCACATGTCCTTATGTCATTCCTATTTTATAGAAGATGAAACTGAGGTTAAGCAATTAGTCAACAGACACAGAATCACAGGCCCTCTTCATTGTAAAACAAGGGTCCAAAACATTTTTTCTATAAAGGGCCAGAGAGTAAATGATTTACGCTTTGTGAGCCAGAGAGTCTGTTGTAGCTACTCAGCTCTGGGTTATTCTAGTGCAAAAACAGCTGTAGGCAGCATGTACAGAAATGAGCATAACCATGCTCCAACAAAACTTTATTTACAGGCACTAACATTTAAATTTCAGACAATTTTCACATGTCACAAAATACCACTTTTCTTTAACCACTTAAAAGTATAAAAACCATTCTTAGTTTGCAGACAGTACAGAAAGAGTTTCGGCCCATGGGCCGTCATTTGCTGACCCCTGTTCGAGAGGATCTATCACAGAAGACTCTTGCTTGCCTGAAATTTGTGAGTGCGTGTAAATGTTGGAATTAACAGGTGTCACTGTTTTCTCTTATGCTGTCTTTTGTCTCAGGAACAACCAGGAAGACGCTGCACTTCGAGATTTCCAAGGAAGGCAGTGACCTGTCAGTGGTGGAGCGTGCAGAAGTCTGGCTCTTTCTAAAAGTCCCCAAGGCCAACAGGACCAGGACCAAAGTCACCATCCGCCTCTTCCAGCAGCAGAAGCATCCGCAGGGCAGCTTGGACACAGGGGAAGAGGCCGAGGAAGTGGGCTTAAAGGGGGAGAGGAGTGAACTGTTGCTCTCTGAAAAAGTGGTAGATGCTCGGAAGAGCACCTGGCATGTCTTCCCTGTCTCCAGCAGCATCCAGCGGTTGCTGGATCAGGGAAAAAGCTCCCTGGACGTTCGGATTGCCTGTGAGCAGTGCCAGGAGAGTGGCGCCAGCCTGGTGCTCCTGGGCAAGAAGAAGAAGAAAGAAGAGGAGGGGAATGGGAAAAAGAAGGGTGGAGGTGAAGGTGGGGCAGGAGCAGATGAGGAGAAGGAGCAGTCGCACAGACCTTTCCTCATGCTGCAGGCCCGGCAGTCTGAAGACCACCCTCATCGCCGGCGTCGGCGGGGCTTGGAGTGTGATGGCAAGGTCAACATCTGCTGTAAGAAACAGTTCTTTGTTAGTTTCAAGGACATCGGCTGGAATGACTGGATCATTGCTCCCTCTGGCTATCATGCCAACTACTGCGAGGGTGAGTGCCCGAGCCATATAGCAGGCACATCCGGGTCCTCACTGTCCTTCCACTCAACAGTCATCAACCACTACCGCATGCGGGGCCACAGCCCCTTTGCCAACCTCAAATCGTGCTGTGTGCCCACCAAGCTGAGACCCATGTCCATGTTGTACTATGATGATGGTCAAAACATCATCAAAAAGGACATTCAGAACATGATCGTGGAGGAGTGTGGGTGTTCATAGAGTTGCCCAGTCCAGGGGGAAAGGGAGCAAGAGTTGTCCAGAGAAGACAGTGGCAAAATGAAGAAATTTTTAAGGTTTCTGAGTTAACCAGATAAATATAAATTAAAAAAACAAAAAAACAAAAAAAACAAAAGTAAATTAAAAACAAAACCTGATGAAACAGATGAAGGAAGATGTGGAAAAAAATCCTTAGCCAGGGCTCAGAGATGAAGCAGTGAAAGAGACAGGAATTGAGAGGCAAAGGGAGAATGGAGTACCCTTTATTTCTTCTGAAATCACACTGATGACATCAGTTGTTTAAATGGGGTATTGTCCTTTCCCCCCTTGTGGTTCACTTGTGAGCCTTGAGTCAACTAACCTAGTCTGCAGTAGTGCGGACTAGAGCAACCCAAATAGCATCTAGAAAGCCATGAGTTTGAAAGGGCCCATCACAGGCACTTTCCTACCCAATTACCCAGGTCATAAGGTATGTCTGTGTGACACTTATCTCTGTGTATATCAGCATACACACACACACACACACACACACACACACACAGGCATTCCCACACATTACATATATACACATACTGGTAAAAGAACAATTGTGTGCAGGTGGTCACACTTCCTTTTTCTGTACCACTTTTGCAACAAAACAAAACAAACAACATTAAAAAATTGAGAACAAGTATGGAAAGAATGAAAGA